TCATTCTTTGAACTAATGTTGGGGTTACCTCTTCATCAGATGATGATGATGAATCATCTTCGTCACTATTTATAATTTTATCAACATAATCATCTAAAGTTGGTAATGGTGGTGTTGGTTTTTGTGGTATAGTTTGTGTAGTGGTGGTAGTTGTTGTTGATTCAGATGTTGTTGTGGTTGTAGTAGTTGTTGTTGTTGTTGTGGTAGTTGTTGTTTTATCGTCATTAACCTTATCTTCCTCAATACTTGAATCGTTTGGTACGACTTGATCATCAGCTTTTTCTTTATCACTAGCTATTTTTAAACTATTTTTAATTGCCTCAGCTAAATCTTCTTTGTCAAACTCCTTTTCATTGCTGCCTGTATTGTCCACATTTTCTTTCTTTGAAAAGAATTTAATTGTACCTAAAATATCCTCGACTTCGTGTAGGCATCTATCGTATACATATGTATCGCAAGTATAGCACCAAAAGCTATGGTCAATAAATGAGGCTGATATGGGGTGACCTGTTGATTCATAATGTTCACCTGCATGTCCATTAACGTGTCTTGAGCATGATACTGTACCACATCTTAAACATATCCAATTTTCACTTTTATCGTTACAAACATTACATTGTGGCGATGAAACTAAAATTAAATAAAAGAATTGTAAATAATTATGTATTTTTTTATTTTTTTTTTGCATTGACAAAATTTACGGTTTGAATTATCAAAAACTGAAATATTTATACAACTATCAAACTCTTCGACCAAGTGTTTACATGCAATTGGATTGACTGCAAATACCATTATATTAATTATTTACTGTTACTATTTTACTATGGTTATTATTTTTTTATATTGCTATTAAATGTGGTTAAAAATTACAATTTATAATTTTTTTTTTTTTAAAAAAATTTTTATTTTTTTAATTTTTTTTATTTTTATTTTTATTTTAAATTTTTCTGAATATTTTATTTGTTTTTTTAAATAAATGATAGAGGGGAAAAACAAAAAAATTCCATGCTTTACTTAAGCGTGTTACACGCGTCCAAAATAAATAAAAATCACATGTTGATTCATAATGATTTTAATTTGATTTCAATTGTATTATATTTAAATTCCCAATATTTTTTATGAATTGGATCTATGGTTTCTGATAATAATTTACAAATCTAAATAAAAAAAGATTTTTAAAAAAAATGGATTAATAAAAATTCTAAAAATGAAATTGAAATAGTTTCAATATTTATACTTTACATTTAATGAATCTTCCAAAGATTTTTTTGAGTTTTCTTCTTGATAAAAATCTAAAATTATAGAATTGACATGTGAACAACCAATATATTTCGATTTTAATTCTAATAATTGCTTTAAGAGATCTTGATAGTTTAATAAAGATTGTCCTTTAAATAAACCTCTTAAATAACTCCATGGTGATTCATTATTTGGACTAAATTTAATGTAACCAAGAGCAAATTCAACTTCACGGTCAATTAGCTCTTTTGAGAATGGAAGTTGGTTATTACTTAAAAGAACAAAGAAACGATGATTCCAAGCTGAATTATTACGATGATCTAATTTTAATAGTTTGTTGACAAATTCTAACTCCCCTTGCCATTGTTGAAAGGTTTTTAAAAGCCATTGTCTATGTGACCATGCATGATAGTTCTTGGCATCTTCATTTAAAACATCTGATAAAAATAATTTTTCTCCTTCATTTGAGGCTGCTCCAATGTATTTCTCGACAATAAAACGACGATGGTTCCAAATTTGATAATTCTTTGGATCAGTTTCACCCATTTCATTTAATAGTTGCATTTCATCTGCAATATCATATTCAATTGATGTATCATTTTCGATTGATTTCAACACTTCTCTTCTATAATACCAGACTGTATAGTTTGATGGATTGTCTTGAACAATATCCTCTAAAAGTTTTAAGACTCTTAATGATTTTTCCTTTGATTTTAATATTGCTCTAAAATAATTCATTTTATCTTTAACTGTTTTTTAAATATTGTTAATAATTTATAATTATTTTTATATTTAATGGTAAATTGTGTTTTTATGAGAGGGGGGTTATGCATTCCGTTTCATAAGAGTCCAAGTTAATTTTTTAAATAAAAATATAAGTTTTATCAATACCAACATTCATCTGTATACATAATTGGACAAACTGGATGAGGTCCATCATCTTGTGGAATAGGAGTAACATCACTCCATTCTGGTCTTTCTGAATAAGGGGTATATAAATCGGACTCTTCCTCTGATGACATGCTTGAATAAATGATGTTAATTATAATAAAGTAATTTTAAAAATAAAAATGAAAAAAATGAAAATTTTTTTTTAAAAATTAAAAAATTTTAGAAAAAAAAATTAATTAATTTTTTTCTTATAATTATTTTCAAAAATTACTTTTATTATATTCCACAATCCTAAAATAAAATAAAATGTTTCTAAATTAGCTTAATGGTAAGTATTTTCTTTAAAAATAAAAAAGTTATAATAAAAAAACCATATATGAAAAACTATTTCTAAAATTTATAATTTTATAATATATTTTATATATAATAGTTAATATTCAATTAAAGAAAAAATGTAGTTAAATAAAATAAATATTGTAACACCATCATTATTCATTGAAAATTTATATCTCTTGGGACCTTCGTCTTTTTTTTTTTTTTTTTTAAAACCAGTGATAATTTTTTTATTTTTTTTTTTAAAATAATTTTTTTATTTTTTTTTTTACAAAAAGATTTCTTTTGAACATTTTTTTTTTTTGTTGTTATAATATATTATAATTTCAAAAAACTCAGTTATTATTTCACATACCAACTTTCAATTTAATCAATATTATTAATATCACAAATCAAAAAAATAAAATCAATAGTATTTTTAGAATTTAATAAATAGTAGTAAATAAACCAAATTAAACAACACAAAAAATAATAGTGCAAATATTACATAAAATTTTATTTATAAGACAAACAAAAAAAAAAAAAACAATAATAATATTTGGGGTCAAAAGGAGGGTGATTTAAGGGTGGTGAAAAAAGAAAAGAAAAAAGTTAATTATAACTACAATCAAAAAAAAAAATTTAACCACACCTCCCACACAACAGCATTAATAATATTACCAGTTACCCAGTTACCCCACATCAAACTTAACACACATAAGAACATTAGATTACTATTATTATAATAAAAACAACAAATAATACTTAATGGAATACAATACAACAAAAAAACAATAATAATAATTTTGTAAACGATAATTTTTTTTTTTTTTTTTTTCAAATTATACAATTTATTTTCTTATAATATTAAACAAATATTTGTTTATCAACACACACACGAACACACACACAAATACTTGTTCACCCAAACACACAATTCATTAACACACCCAAATAATTATATAAATACAAAATCATAATTACAATTAACATTATATTTATTTATTTATCAAAATTATAAAATATTATAATTATAAACTTTCATACTATATTTGTCAATTTGTTTTTTCACTATCCAATATCCTTTCAGATAGACCACTCATTTTTTTCAATTATTATATTTTTAAATTAAATTTATTTTTTTAATTTTTGTTTGCAGGTTTTTTCTCCATTCGATTTTGTTTTTTTTTTTTTGAATGTACTATATCAGGAACACTTTCAATATAAAATAATAATAATAATAATAATAATAATAATAATAATAATAATTAAAATAGCAACATACAAATAAAGAATCAACTTAAAAATTTAACTTAAATCTTGGTTTTTTTTTTATTTGTTTTTTTTTTTTTTTTTTTTATCACATAAATATAAATAATTTTTACTTTAATCATTAATATTCCAATATATAAATAAGTCAGAAAAAAAAAAAAATTTAGAAAACAAAAAGAAAAAATATAGTTTTTTTTATATATTTTAAAATGTCAACTTGTTCATCTCTTAGTATGAATGATAGAATTCATGTGGCTTATGGAAGCATTATTTCAGCATCACTATCAATTATTGGAACAATTTGTACAATTATTTTAATTAAAATAAGGAATAAAAAACAAATAAATAATGACCCACAAAGAAAGCAATTATTAAATTCGACAAATAGTGGCGAAAATAGTGGTGCCAGTTCAATATCGCCTAGTAATAGCTCAAACAATATAATTAGTATAAATAGCGGCAGTAGTGGCTACAGTTTTTTTTCAGAAGAGATAAACGATAATAATAATAAAAATTTTAATAATTTTATGAACAATTTAAATAATAATAAACATTATAATAATATAGCAAATAACAATAATAAAAAATCATTAAATTCTTTCAACAGTAAAGGAAACCAACAAACAACAAAAGTTTCTCATTTTATAATAAATTTATCAATTGCTGATTTGTTGGCTTCAATTTTTATTTTAATATCAAATGTTATGATGATACAGTTTAATGACAGATACGTAGAAACACCATTTTCAAGTGATAGCTACACATTTATAAATATGATGTCAATTTGCACCCTTAGTAATGGTTTTGTCAGCTTCTCATATATTTCAACCTTCTTTTGGACATTGGGAATAGCGCTATACATTTACCAACAATTCTCTTTAACCTCCACAATGGTATCAAGCTCATCGCTCAGCGACAGTCATAAACAATCAAGAAATAATAAAATTATTAAAATATTATTTTATATAATAAATTGGGTCATACCGTTCATATTGGGTGGAGTTATTGTATCAGGAAGTAGAATCGTCGATAAATCATCTTTCTTTAGTTCTGCCAGTGATGGTTCGGCAAGATCGTTGCCATGGTGTTCAATCGAAGCCAATGTCCAATTGGTTGCATTCTACCTACCGTTAATGGTATCAATGATATTCACTCTTTTTTATACACTCTTAATTAAACATAGATTTTCAAACAACACTTTGTATGGAGGCTCATCAACTTTGGTTAAACTTCAAAATAAAATTATTGGAAGATTGGTTCTTTTCTGCTTGGTTTTCTTTATATGCTGGACACCCAAATTAATCAGTTTCTTTATTACATACTTTACAAGTAGTGCTGGTAGAGCACAAGAATGCAAACAAATGCTATGGTTAGAGGTATTATCAGCTACTGTTTATCCATTACAAGGTTTTTGCAACTTCCTTTCATACACTGTATTTAAGAAATTCAAAGAGTTTTTTAAATTAAAATTAAATAATATTTCTAAATTATTTAAATCAAATTTAAATAATGATAACAAAAACACAAATAACAATTTTGGTTCAAATTTATTTTATACAAATAATAGTAATAATAATACTAATAATAATAATAATAATAATAATGGTAATAATAACTTCTATTTTACTTTTTCAACATTTGATTTAAATGAAAAAGGAAAAAAATAAAATAAAATAATAAAAATTTTAATTTTATAGAATTGTAAATATTTCGAAAATAAAAATAAATAAAAACTTATAAAACATAGTTTTTTTATTATAATAATAATAATAATTATATTGATTATTGTTTTATTATTATTCACATTCATTTTGAATTTTAATATTATAATATTAATATTTTATTATTCGTTTTTAAAAAAGATATTTTGGTACATTTGGGATAAGTTTTTTGCTTCTTCTGTTTTAAGTAATTCTAAAAAAAATTTTTAAGATTAGTTTTTTTTTTTTGTATATATTAAATGAAAAACAAAAAAAAACAAATAGAAATTATTACTGTGGGGTGGCTATTATTATTATTTATTGGTACTATTTTTATCAATTGATTGTTATTAATTATATTTGTTTTATTTATCCTCTTTTAATCTTTTTCTATTTGGCTCTTTATTATTTTTTATGTTAAAAAGAATTAATATAATGATGATTGTGAAAGAAAAAAAAAAAAAAAATTATTTTATCGTAAAAATAAAATTTAAATAATGGATTATAAACAAAAAAGAATATTGATATTTACCTTCGCTATCAATTTGAGTACCATCAACTGATCTTTCTAAAATTTGACGGAATGGAGCTGATGTGGTTGCAGTTGTGGTGGTGGTAGTGGTGGTAGTGGTATTATTGTTGTTATTTGAATCATTTTCTTTTTTAACTTTTGGGGTTTTTCCTTTTAAATAAGTTGAGCTTGGAGTTCTAGTAGTACCTGATGATTGTCTAGCTTGATCAATTTCAATGGTTTCCATCCACTCTGGTGGTATAATACTACCACTGTTTGATGACTGTCTTCCGGTGGTTGTTGTTGTGGTACTAAAATTATTACTAGTTGGTTGGGTTTGGGTTTGGGTTTGGGTGGTGGTAGTTGATGGTGATGAAGAATTATTTGATTGATAAACATCACGAAGATATTGGCTTGTCATTGTTGAAAATTCGATTAAAGCTGGTGATTCACTAATAATTTTTTGATATACAAAAGTGTCGATTAAATCAAAAGCACCTTGACTACCATTATCAAAACATTCTGAAAGACTTTCAATTAATTCTTTAACAAAATCTGAACTAAAGCTAGAAATTTCGTTTTGTAAAGTGCCATCAGTGTTTCGATTAATAAAGATTAAAAGGAATCTCTTTAAATATTTTCTTGCTAATCTTGCAACAATATCTGGATAGTTTTGATTGATAACATGTCTTGATAAATCTTCTGGTAAAGTAGTTTCGGCAACCTGATATCTAATGTTTTCAGTATATGATTCAACCATTCTATCTATATTATCTGTTGAGCTATTACCTGAAAGAAGTTCTTGAACTAAGATTTGTCTTATCAATCTGTGACCTTGACGTACTGCTGCATCACCTCCATTAGAAATTAATTGGAAACCATTAAGGAGATGTGGCATATTAATAAAAAGAATTAAAAGTGGGGAGGTTCCTCTTGATATATAGTTATTGTTATTATTATTGTTTTGTGATTGGAACATTTGTGAAATATTTGAAAAAATATCAGAAAGATGATTTTCGTTTGAACCTCCTGGGATATTCGATAAAACACTATTAAGAATTCCACCTAAAGGATTATTATTTGGCTGTTGTCCAAGTGATGAGAAAAGACCATTTAATGTTTGTGAAATTACATTGTTAATATCTTCACCTAAAACTGGAGCTCCATTTACATCTACATTTACACTTGGTCCTGCATTTGGATTTGGATTTGGGTTTGAATTTGTATTTGTATTTGTATTTACAAATACATTTGTAAATACATTTGGATTTGTATTTGCATTTGTTGAAGTTGTAGTTGAAGTGGTGTCACTTGGAGAAGTGCTGGTAGTGGTAGTGGATGGAGCGGTGGTAGTTGTGGTGGTTGGTGAGGTGGTGGTTGAAGATGGATTTCTTTGTGAGTTAGCTGTTGTGCCAGGTCTTGATCTAAGTGGTTCAGAATCGAGAGATATAAAGGTTCCTGGAATGCCTGGTACTGGGTGTAAAGCACCAGAAGTTTGTAAAGAAAGCAAATCAGCAGGTGTTGTAATTGTAGAACTTGAAACAGGTGTAATACCATTTGGACCTAAATTTAATGTGATTTGTGAAATGGAAGGAACAAAATGGGTGCCATTTGGTTGATCGGTAGTACGGAAGGCGTTTGTACATTGAGATAAAAGACCTGTGGCATTTGACAGTCTTGATAAACTTAATCCAACAGCAGTAGCTTCAGCTTGAAGTTGGACTCTTTGTGCTGGATCAGTAATATTATTATTATTTCTTAATTGCTCATTTAAATGGTTCATACGTTCAACCAAACGATTAATTTCAGTCAAGGTTAAATCAAAATAATCTGAAAGTCTTTCGTGTGATGGTTGTTGTTGTGGGTCATATGGATGACCATCTCTGTCTGGTGGGACTGGACCTGTAACAAGTGTATTGGATGGATTATTAACATTTGCAATTGCATCACGTAATTGTGTGTCAAATGGTACCTGTGATGGTACAATTGATCTCATTACCGAATTTAAAAGATCGTTTCTTGGAATTCTGTTTGTTGAGGAACTTGAAGAAGAAGAGGAGGTGGATGTAGTTGATGTGGTTGAAGTTGATGGTGGTGGTGGATTGGTTGATTCTGGTGGTCTTTCTGCTAAATGTAATGTTACACCATCCTCAATTTCTAAAAATTAATATAATAAAAAGTGTTAATATAAATGGAGATTGCGACACATCGAGGAACAACAACTTCATTTTGAACTTAATCTATATACTTACTATAAAATTGTAAATCCTTTTCATCACGTAAATATTTTCCTTTATAAATAACCCTTTGAAGTGGGATTGGGACTGAGGAGGCATCTTGTATAAGTTGTTTTAATTCTGGAATTGTGGTTTCTGGAGTAACCTCTAAATTATAAACTGAACCATCTAATTTTTTTATATTAATTTTCATTTTCTTTTTTTTTTTTTTCCAATAACTATTATTATTGTGAACTATATCTATTTATTAAAAAAAAAATAATAACCAAAAACAATTATATTATTATTATAATATATAATTATTTATATGTATTTATATATTAAAATAAAGTTAGATAAGTAATAAATAGAAATAATGAACCCTAAAAAATAAAAATTAAAAATTAAAAAAATTTAAAAATTTAAAATAAAAAAAAATTGAAAAAAAAAAAAAAAATTTTTATTTTTTTTTCTTTTTTTTTTTTTTGCAAAATTGTGTATTTTTTTAAAATTTTTTTTTTTTTATTCCTTTTCGTTTTTATAATCATTATCATTTTTAATTAATTCTATTTCAGATTTTATTTTTTAGAAAAAAAAAAAAATAGTATTTGTAATAATATTCATAGTATTATTAATAATTAAATAACACATTTTAATTTTATATATATATATAATTTCATTGTGTGTGTGCTTTTTTTTTTTTTTTAAAAAAAATATAAAAAAACAAAAAATGATTAGATCAAAAGTTTTTACAAAATTTATTAACTATAATAGAATCAACTCAACAGGTTCTATTAAACAATATCAATCAAACACAGGTTCATTATTAAATGGATTCAACAGCATAAAATCAAATAATCAAATAAATAATAATAATAATAATAATTATAATAATAATTTTAGTATCCAATCATATCAAAAAAGAGATATTTCTTTTTTCACCAATGTCTATAATAACTTCATGCAGCTTGTTGAATCCAATCCAGAATATGTTAAATTAATGGAGGATTTCGATAGAGTATTTTTAAATAATAGATTTAAGAAACAAAAAGAAAAGGAAGAGCAAGATAAAAAAGATTTAGAAGCTAAAATGGAGGCATATTCAAAGTCAGCAGAGCAACGTGCAAAAGAAGAAGCAGGTTTACCAGAAGAAGAGGTTAGAAAGAGAAGAGAAGAGGAACAAAAACTCTATGAAGAATTACTTAATCAAAAGACCAAAAAAGGTGAAAAAACTGAAGGTCGTCCAATGCCAAGTGGTGAAGTTAAAGTCAAAACTGATGGTGTTTCACCATCCGAACAATCTGATGCCCTCAAGCATTTAAAGGATATTTACGATAAAGCTCAAGGTATTCGTCCATTACCATTCGAACCAAATAGAGAAGAACCAACATTTGAAAATTGCCAAGAGTTTATGTTTGGTGGTGAATTTGGTTTATATGATTTAGATGCAACCAATCTCATTGCTGACTCAAATCCATCAATCGAATACTTAACCTTTACAGAACAATTTAATATGGCTATGGATACATATGAAGATGTTGGCAAATTTTTAATTAAAACCGATTTAGATGCTCGTGCTGCCAATGTTAAATACGATACAATTGATTGGGATGATTTCATTTATAGCGAAGAGGAATTTCAAGCACTTCCAAAACCATATTTAGAATTTTTACAAAGAAAGCTCGAAATGGAATTTGGTGACAAAATTAGAGAAATGGAAGCAATAGAAGAGAAGAAATTATTCGAAAAAGAAGAACGTTATAAAGAATACGAAAACCAAGAAGAGACAGGTGGTAGAGATTTAAAAAGTCCAGATAACCCAAACAACTACCCAGTTAAACTTGAAAAAATCGAAATTAAACCAACTCTAAAAGATCCAATTTTTATTAAAGTTGTAGACAAGCTTATGGATATTCTTACCCCACCAGAAAAATACGCAACCTCCTATGTTTATGATACACTCATTAAAAAATTCTACAAAGGTTCACCAACTAATAATAAGATCATCAATGAATGGGATACTTATCTACCAGAAACCTCATTAGAAACACTTTTAATGGAATTAAGAACCGACTTTTTACCAAATTACTTTTATCATTATTTCCGTGGTAATCTTAGAGAATTGGAACAATATACCGAAGATGAGGTAATTATTATTATTATAATTATTATTATTATCTATTTTAATGGTAATATTAAATTTTTTTATTTTTTTTTATTTTAGTATATGGAGGAAACTGCAAAATTCATCCACACTTTAGAAGGTAATTATAAAATTCTTAATCATGAACTCCTTGGTATTTCAAAAATCAATTTCTGTAAATTCATGAATGAAGAAGAAGCCACATATTTAAAGGTTTCAATTAAAGTATTACATAAAATGGGTCTTAGAGATTACAATGGTAACCCAATCGAAATTGCAAAAGTAAATATATTTATTCAAAGGTTATTATTGTATTTTTTATTGATATTAATACTAATAAATTAATTTTTAAATTCAATTTTATAGGAAGAAAGACATGGTGTTTATATTTCACACTTTAGACTTTATTTAACTTTAGATCCACCAAAGAATAGATTTGGTTGGGTTGTTGGTAAAATTAGACCATCAGTATGTATTGAAATTCATTAAATTTCTATAAACTGAACTTTCATATTAACAACAATAATAATAATTTCATTCATTTATAAATATAGATTCCACACAAAGTACTTAATTTAGTTCCAGATAATGAAGTTGACCAATATGATTTTGCAGATTTTGAAGTTGAAGAAAAAAGAGATAAAAAAGGAAAAAGAGTAAAAAGAGAAAAAAGAGAAAAAAAATTAAATAGACCACTCACCGAAGAAGAAAAGCTAGCTTCAAAACCAAAATATGATGCTGATGCTTCAGTTAGATAATTATAATTAAATTAAAGAAATTTAAATTTAAATAAACCATTCAGACACATATTTTTTATATTAATACCCCATTAAAAATTTACCAACCACTTTTTTCGATTAACCTTTTTTTTAAATGTGGGTTTTGATTATTATTAATTTTTTTTTTTTACCCAAATTTTCTAAAAATCAAATACCAGAATTTTTTCATCAGATTAAAAAATTAAGTTACTTTAAATACCAATATTCCCATCACGAAATAACTACACGCAATTAATGACAAAAAAATTTTATTTTTTTTTTTTTTAATTTTTTTTTTTTAATTTTTTTTTTAGTTTTAAAAATTTTATTTTTACAGTTTATTTAAATTAATTAAAAAGAAATATGCAAGATCAAAAAGAAAGTGTAGAAAGACCGGGTGGTGATGTTAATTATAATGTTTTTGGTAAATCTTATCATAATTTTAGACAAGAGGAACCAGAGATAAAAAAAGCAATTTTAAATGCAATTGGAGATAGCAAAAAGATTTTAAATGTTGGGGCTGGTGCAGGATCTTATGAACCAACAGATGAAAAATACGAAGTTACACCATTAGAGCCATCCGCTTCAATGAGAGAAAAGCGTCCAAAGCATTTAGCACAAGCCGTAGATGGGGTTGCAGAAAATATACCATTTCCAGACAATCATTTCGATGCATCAATGACTACATTCAGTGTTCACCAATGGCCACAATTAGAAAAAGGTTTGACCGAAATGAGAAGAGTTACTAAAGGTCCAGTTGTTATTTTAACATGTGATCCACACAAAGTAATGGACTTTTGGATGTACGATTATGCACCAAATGTATTTCAAACCGAATCAACCCGTTATCCAGATTTAAATAAGATCTCACAAGTGTTAGGTGGTAGTGTAGAAATTGTTCCAGTTCCAATTCCAAAAGAATGCCACGACCTCTTTAACGAAGGTTATTACGCTAGACCAGAGTTTTTTGTAAATAATTGTCCAGGTTCATACTCTAGTTGCTCTGCTTGGTCATTTGTAGATGATGAAACCAGAAATATCTATATTAATAATATTAAAAAAGATCTCGATTCTGGTGAATGGGATAAGAAATATGGCCATTATCGTAATCAATCACATTATATTGGTTCTTTATATTTAGTAATTTCAAATCCAAAAAAAGAATAAAATAAAACAATAAACAAATTATAAATAACATTTATAGAATGATAATATAAAACAAAAATAATACCATCAACAACAATAGTATCAGTGGCAAAGTACACATTTAAATCAAAGGCATTTATAGGAAGACCCAGGAGCAATTAATTTAATTCTATTATATAAAATACATATCACATTCAAATTTTTTTTTACAAAAACCTCAGTAATATAGATGCTTAATTAGTAAGCAATAATTTATTAATAATTAATAAAATTAAAAGTAGGGAAATTATAAAATTGTTTTTATATTGGTTAATTATTAATTGTTTAGTGGTTGTTAAAATTTTATTAACAATAATTTAAAAAAAAAAAAAAAAAAATAAACTGACATTAGTATATCTGATATTGTATGTTTGTTCAAATTTCATAATGTTTTTGATATTTTAATATATATTTAATTTTTAGTATATCATCTTTTTATTTTTTAAAAATTAATTATTTTTTATTTAAAAAAAAAAAAAAAAAAAAAAAAAAAAAAAAAAAAAAAGAGAAAAAAAAAAAATTTAATAAATGACAATAAATCAATATTTAATAATCAATATTTAATAATCATTAAGTAAAAAATAATAATAAATTAACCAATGGTTAATATCATTTTAGAAAAAAAAGATAAAATAATAAAAATAATTAATTTTCTTTATATTGACTAAAAAAGTAATCATAAAAATAAATCATTGTATTAATGTAAATTAATCATTGAAATTTTAATAGTAATGAAGTTCCATATAATGTAATTACTATTTTAATTTGTTTATTGAAGAAATTCATAAATTGCTATAATTTTTTATTATTAATATAATAATCTTGAAGTTCCCCAAATGGATTTACTTTTTCCTTTCGAAGGAATCATCTGTTTAATTTTTTTAAAAAATTTTTTTTTACAACCACTATGCCTTGTGGGTCACCCCATACATTTTTTATAATGATTTAAAATTTTTTTTTTTTTTAATTTAAAGTTTTTATTTTAATTTTTAAATTTTTTTTTAATTTTTAAATTTCATTGCCAAAAGAAATTTTTTTTTTTTTTTTTTTTTTTTTTATTAATTTATCTTCATACAATTAATTATTTACTATAGTAATCAATAAAATATTAAATTTTAATAACAATAACTTTTTATATTAATTAAATAATATTCAGCAATCATTATTTAATAATCATAATTTAATATAAAATGTTTCTAGCAGTTTTAATATTCTTTATTTCTGCATTACTAGGTGTTTTATCATGGTATTTTGTAAATAAATATTCAACCAACAATAACTATAATAACAACAATAACAATAACAATAACAATAACAATAACATTAACAATAACAATAACAATATCAACAACAACAACAATGGTTTATTCAGCAACAACACCTACCCACAACAATCTACACCAATCCATTATACTGTTCCATTAAATATAAAACAAAACCAACAAAATCAAATTTCTCAACCACAACATCAAAATCAACAACAACATCAACAACAACAACAAATTCCATTTCCAAGGGTTCAATCTAACCATAACCCATCTATTAAAAAAAGAAACTCATCTTATTCTGCTCCTGATATGGTTTTAGCATCTGTTCAACCCCAACAACACCCAGAACCATCTATTATTCCACCAGTTTTCAATTATACAGGTACCCCAAATTCAACTGTTAATACTCCAATGAAGAAGAGACCATTGGATACTGATGATCAAAACTATATTGGTCACAACATTCACCCTTTAAAAAAACATAGATTTGAAGACGAGGAGGAAATTAAAAGGGTTGAAGAAGAAAAAAAACGTATAGAAATGGAAATAATAGAAAAACAAAAACAGGAAATGGAAACAATGGAAAGAGAGCGTGTTGAAAGAGAACGTGCTGAAAGTGAACGTGCCGAAAAAGAAAGATTGGAAAAACTAGAAGAAGAACGTAAAAAAAATGAATTATTAGAAAAGGAAAGATTAGAAAAATTAGAACAAGAACGTTTAGAACAACAACGTTTAGAGCAACAACGTTTAGAACAACAACGTTTAGAACAACAACGTTTAGAACAACAACGTTTAGAACAAGAACGTTTAGAACAAGAACGTTTACAACAAGAACGTTTAGAACAACAACGTTTAGAACAACAACGTTTAGAACAACAACGTTTAGAACAAGAACGTTTACAACAAGAAGAGGAACAAGAAGAAATTCAAGAAGAACATGAAGAAGGTGGCGAATGTTACATTTGCTACGAAATTATGGAGGCCATTAATGTATGCACCATAGATTGTAACCATAAATTTTGTTTCAAGTGCATTACTGATTGGTCCAAAAAAAAAAATACTTGCCCTTATTGTAGAAAAAGATTCAATACCAAAGTAAGTAATTCATACATTCATATTTATACTTAATAAATAAAAAATATATATTAATTTATTTCTTTTTTTAATTGTAGAGAGCACATAATGGTGAATTATTTCATGTTGAAAATAGAGGTCAACTTAGAAATTTAAATAATCAGATCCCTGATGATTTAGATGACTTTTCCGATGATGAATCTGATGAATCCGATGAATCCGATGAATTTGACGCTGAAGCTATGTATAATCAACTTAGAGAAATTCGTCGTAGATATAATTTCGAAGATCCAGAATTAGAAAACTTAATGCGAATCGGTTAATCATGAAATCGATAGCAATTCAATTAATATTTTAGGTACTTTATTCAATTTTTTATTTTAATGAAATCATTGAAGAACTAAATATTAATTTAATCGTCTAATTCAAAGTTTCATTTTATGAATCGATGGCGATTAAATTAATAATTTACATTCATTATCAATGTTTCATTAAATTAAATAGATAAAGAACTAGATATTAGTTACATTTTTCCACTCATAATTTCAATTAATGATATTTTTAAAAGTTTTCCAAATCATCCGAAACAGATTCTCAAAGGAATTCAAAAATTAGTCACCTCACCTCTTTATCAAAATTTCATCATACAGTTCAGCTCTTCAGAAAATAGCAAGTAAAAGTTCAATAAAATAATAAATGTTCCAGTTCCAGTTCCAGTTCCAGTTCCACAGTATCTAATAATTCATTAAGGTAGCTATAATAATATTTACATAATTGTTATAATATTTGAATTTAAAAGAAACTAACTATAATATATTTTTTTAGTTTAATTCTAATTCTTATTTTTCAATATCAATACGTATCAGTTTCTAATCTAACATTGGAGGTCTCGCCAAATAATCAATCAAAGTTCACAACAATCTTCTGGGTAACCATAACTAAGAACCAGAGTCACCTTTTTCTTTCAAAGTTCAACACCATTTACAACCATCACATCAACCATTCTCACCCAAATACATCATCGAACAGTATAAACTCACTCAAAGTCACATTCCAGCTGTATAAACACCATTTACAACCATCACACCTAACAATCTAACACAAATCCATAATTTATTAATATAAACACTAAAACGATTTTAAATAAAAAAAAATTTTAATTTTTTTGTAAATTTTTTTAATTTCTTTCAAATTTTTTTAATTTCTTTCAAACTTTTTTAATTTCTTTCAAATTTTTTTATTTTATTGGTTAAACTAAAAACTAAATGATTTTGGTGTTGATATAAATAATGTAGTTAAAGGTATTGAAATGTATGTATATTTTTATAAATTTTTTAAATAAAGTTCATTTTACAAACATTATGTTTTTTAATTAGCGGTGCAGGTGTATTATATACATCCCCATTACTAGGTGTCAAATTATTTAAATAATTTTTTAGGTTTAAACTACTATTGGAGTTACTAAAGAAAAATTTCGGATTACCCAATTCAAAAATTTTACAGCAGAGTTATCTCAAAGAAATACACTTAGATGGGTTATTGTGCAGATTAAAGTTTTCAACCATCATTTAATAATAAAAAATTAAATAATAATAGTGATAGTAATTACAATAAGAATAGTGATTTTTTATCAAAATTAAAAGAAAAATGAAGATAATATTCAAACTCTATGTTAAAATAAATAAAAAAAGTATTGTTTTTAAAATGAATTAATTAATATTAATAGATTCAAATTATTTTTTTACCACAAAATAAAATAGAGATTCTCCAATAGTTTATTTTATTGACAAATATTAGTGCTTTTTTTTATATAGATTTTTTTTTTAATATCAGATTTATTTTAAATTAAAAAAGTGTTAATTTGATATTTTTAATAAGGTGCAATGGTGTCACCAAACATAATAATTTGTAGAAATATGGGTGTATCTATAATTGACTTTATTTTTAATTTAAATTAATTATTTCCTTTTTTATTTCTTTTAAAAAAAATAATCACAATCAACTAAAAAAATTTTTATTTTATATATTTCTTTTTTTTTATTTTAATTTTTTAATTTTTATTTTATTTTTTCATTTTTACTATCAAAATTTATATAATAAAAAGATAGGATATTCGATATGAAAATCTTTATTCCGAATAAATATTTATTAATTTATACAATAGATTTAAACAATATCTTTTTATAAAATTGTATCAATTCCTTTTTTTTATAAATATACAGGTTATTGAACAAAACAACAAATTACTTTAGAATTTTAAAAACTATTATAATACTCAATTACCAATCTAAATGTGATGAGGAAACTTTATTTTCATTGGGAAACGAAATGACAAAAAATAAACTTTTAATAAATAATAATAAAGTAAAACTTATATTTAAAAAAACTATTCTTAATTATTCATATGATATATTAAAGATTATACAAAAAAAAAAAAATAAGTTTAATTTAGACTGTTTTAAGTGAGTGAGTCCCAATCTTTGTATCAAATTATTTAGAGAAGGTTTTTTTTTTTTTTACTTAGAGATTTTTACATTACTTTTTTTATAGATATAAAAAAAAAAATATTAAATATATAAATCCACACCCTGTAACACACCACACAGCCAAAAAATCACTTATAGATTTCTAAATTTGTAATATAACCACAAACCCCTCCGCTAAAAAAAAATTAAAAAAGACAAATAAATAATAATCCATATGAGATCTCAAATTCATAAAATTATAAATATATTATTTTTTTTTTTTTAATTTATCTGTTCCTTTTTAAAGTTATATTTTTTTTTAATTTTTATTTTTTTATCTTTTTTTTTTTATCTTTTTTTTTTTTTATCCTTTTTTTTTTTTTTCTTTCTTTTTCCTTTTTTTTTTTTTTTTTTTTTTTTCTTTATTAAATTAAAAATCAGATTAAATTATAATTTTTCAAATTAGTTATATAAAAATGGAAAATAACCATAGACCCTTAATTTTTATTTTTTCTGGTCAAGTTGTAAATTGGGAAAGAATTGCAGAAGAGTTGTATAATAAAGAACCAGTTTTTAAAAAATGGGTTCATAGAATAGACTCATTAATGCATGAATTTTATAACTATTCAGTATTAGAAAAAGTAAAAAATATGCCACTTGATGAAAGAAATAAAAATACAGACATTTTAATAAATCATTCATTTTTAATGATGTATCAAATTTCACTATTTAAACTATATAAACACTATGGTGTTCATCCTAATATATTAATGAGCCACAGGTAATTAATTTAAATTCTAATGAATAATATTTTTTTAAAATAAAATATTAATTTTTTAATTTTCATAGCATAGGCGAATTTTCAGCAGCATATTGCTCTGGTATGATTGATTTAAGAACTGCAGTTAAAATTCAATACAACAGAAATTTAATTTTAAAAAATGAAGGTGGAACTTTATTGTCAGTAAATATGTCAGAGGAAGATTATAAAACTAAATTTTCTAAAGACTACCCAAACTTTGAAATTGCATGTATTAACACACATAAAAATATTGTACTTGGAGGATGGAAAACTGAACTAGAGCAATTTTCAGAAATATTATCAAAGAAATTTAATATTTTTAATGTTTTTTTTGGGTCAGTAGTATCTGTTCATACTAAGTATGTTGAAAGATTTGCCGGGTCAATGCATTCATATAAATTAAAGAATAAACAACCTAAAATCCCAATTATTTCATGTCATACCGGCCAACTATTCAAAGATTCATTTTTATTTGATGAAAAATATAATTATTTTTCATTTGTTAACCCAGTAAACTTTAATTTAGGTATGATCAACGTTTTAAAGTATTTAGAAGATAATAAATTAGGTGACTCCCCAATAACTGTTGAAATTACACCTCAAGTTATGATGGTCCACAGTTTAAAGGAAATTTATAACAATTTACCCCCATCTTATTTTAAAAAAGAGGAAATGATAAAAAATATTTTTACTTTTACAAAAATGAACCAATTTAAACAATTTTATTCATCTTTAAAAAAAATATATTATTTACAATATAATATTCAAGATAATAATACAACAACAACAACTAATGAAAAAAACTTAGATGATAAAAACCCAAATTCATTAATTGAAAAAAATATTTTAAATTTTATTTCAAAACAATTCGAAATCAACCCCAAAAATTTAGAAATTACATTGGGAGAATTAGGTGCAGACTCATTATTTTTAGTGGGATTAAGAAGATATATTGATGAAGAGTACACAGATAATATATTTACAATTTCGCAATTAAGAGAGTTTAAAATTCAAGATATAATAATCACAATTATTAATGAAATTAAAAACCCAACTAAAAGTACTAAATATGATATTGAATTTTGGGAAAATGAAATTATACTTGACCCAAATATAACCCCCAAATATAACAAAATCAATAACTATAATTTAAATGGTTCAGTAAATATTTTTTTAACAGGAGCCTCAGGGTATTTAGGAACATACTTGATGTATAACTACTGTAAATCAAACAAAGTAAAGAAATTATACTGTTTAATTAGAAATAAAAAGTCGGTTCAAGATGCATATGATTCATTAATCAATGGGCTTAAAACCCATGAACTCTTTGGGCTTTTAAATAAAATGGAACTTAGCAAAATAGAACCAGTTTTGGGTGATCTTTTAAAACCTCAATTCAATCTATCCAATCAACAGTATGATTATTTAAGTAACTCTATAGACATAATTGTTAACTCTGCTGCCAATGTAGATTTAAATTCCAATTATGTTGAAAATAAAGAAGCCAATGTTAATGGGGTTTTAGAAATTATTAAATTTGCATTTTTAAATAATTTAAAAAAACTTATGACATTTTCAACTGTTGCAATTTATTTAAATAATGAATTCGACACCAATGGTTTCAACGATAACCGATTGGTAACTTTAGATAAATTAAACAATATTCCAGGATATGCTCAATCTAAAGTAGTGGGAGAATATTTATTAAGAGAAGCTGCAAACCGTGGTCTTGATATAATCAATATTAGACCACCTTTTATTTATGCCAATCCTAATAATGGAGTTGGAAATGATAATGATTTGCTTCAACTATTTATCCAATGCTCATATGCAGTCATGGCATACCCCAATCTCAGTAGTGATTTCAAAGTGTTTCAAGTACCCATTACATGGTTATCTGCTAATATAGTTCAAAACTTTACCTTTAATTTATCATTATGGAACAACAACTTAAAGTTTAAATCATACAATTTATTTGGATCACACGAACCTATTGAAAAGTTCTTTGGCTATTTAGAAGAAAAGTATCCTTTAAAAATGATTGAATATGATGAATGGGTTAAAAAAATTTCAGAATCTAAAGAAATGTGTTGTATTCGTTTGAAAACTTTCCACAATCTAAATTTTGCTAAAAATTTATATTTCTCCAATACAATCAAAATGACTGATGAAACAATAGGCTTGATTACTAAAGATTGGGAAGTTACAAAACAAATGGTTTATAAAAATATTAACCACATTTTTAAATTAAACATTTCAAAATCAAAACTTTAAAAAAAAAAAAAAATTGGGGGAAAAAAATTTATAAAATAAAGAGGGTTTTTATTTAAAAAAATTAAATTTATTTTTATATTTGATCATTTATTTAATCATATAAGTATAAAAAATAATCATTTTATTATTATTTATTTCCATAAAAAATTATTTATTATTTTTTTCTTAAAATATTTTTTTTTTTTTTTTGAAATTAATTTTTTTAATTTTTTTTTTTTTTTAAATTTTTTTTTTAATATAAAAATAAAAAATCACATTTTTTTTTTTTTTATTTATTAAATTTTTATTAATAATAATTACAATAAATATAAATTTTATAAAATGGAAACAATGGATACTAATTTAGATTTACCAGGAAGATGGATGGATATAGAAAAGATTATTAAAAGATCAGGTCCATTTGCATCACCAGATTTCCAACCAGACACAAAAGAAACACCAAGAATTATGAATAATTTACAAAATGATTTCAAAGTTTTAGTTATTGGCGCTGGTGGTTTAGGTTGTGAAATTTTAAAGAATCTTGCCCTTTCCGGCTTTAGAAATATTGATGTAATTGATATGGATACCATTGATGTTTCAAATCTTAATAGACAATTCCTTTTCAGAAGAAAAGATGTTGGTAAATCAAAAGCTGAAGTTGCTGCAGCTTTTATTAATAATAGAATTACTGGCTGTAATGTAACCCCGTAAGTAATAAACAATAGAATAATATAGTATAACTATATTACTTACTGCAACAATAACTAATAATATATACCCCCTAAAATAACAGATATAAATGTAGAATTCAAGATAAAGAAGAAGATTATTATAGACAATTTAAAATAGTAATTGCAGGTTTAGATTCAATTGAAGCTCGTAGATGGATTAATGGTTTATTAGTAAACTTGGTTGTTGTTGATGAAAATGGTGATATTGACCCAGAAACTGTTATCCCATTAGTTGACGGTGGCACAGAAGGTTTTAAAGGTCAAGCAAGAGTTATTCTCCCAAGAATTTCATCATGTTTTGAATGTTCATTAGAAGCTTTTCCACCACAAGTTTCCTATGCAATTTGCACTATTGCCAATACTCCACGTGTACCAGAACATTGTATTCAATGGGCTTTATTATTTGGTCTTCAAGATGCCACTCTTGAAAAACCATTCGACCCAAGTAAATATTAAATACCTTCATTGGCATACAGCATTAAATACATTACATGTTACTAATAATTTTCTTTTTTATAAAATCAACAGAGAAATTTGATAACGATAATCCAGATCATATGAATTGGTTATTTGAATGTGCCAAAAAAAGAGCTGAAAATTTTAATATTCAAGGTGTTACATATAAATTAACCCAAGGTGTTGCTAAAAATATTATTCCAGCTATTGCATCAACCAATGCTATTATTGCTGCCGCTTGTTGCAATGAAGCATTTAAATTCTGCACAGATAGCAGTGGTTATTTAAACAATTATATGATGTACAATGGTTTAAACGGTGTTTACACATTTACATTCGAATATGAAATGAAAGAAGGTTGTGCTGTTTGTGGTACAAATATTGTTACTGTTGAATTTAACAAAACTGCAAATCTTCAAGAGTTCTTAGAAAAGATTACAACCGATTCACGTTTCCAATTCAAAAAACCATCACTCAGAGCCAATGGTAAAAATATTTTCATGCAAGGTATTCTTCATGCATCAACTGTTCCCAATCTCGAAAAAAATTTACCACAATTAGGAATTGAAGAAGGTGATGAAATCACTGTTACTGACCCAGCCCTTCCAGGCATTGGTGTAAGAATGAAGGTTAAATATTGTTAAATTATAATCAGATATCTTTAAAAATAAAAAAATAAAAAAAATAAAAAAGTGTATCAATTAAATATTTTGGTTTATATATTTCTATCATATATCAATAGTTTAAAAAAAAAAAAATTAAAATTAAAAAATATAAAATTAGATACTAGATACTAGATACTAGAGAATAAAAATTTATTCGGGAAAAAGAATAAATCTTTTGTTTTTTTGGTTTATTGTTGAATTTTATACAGAGTTTCTTTTTATTTCTTTCCTATTATAATTATAAATATTGTAATTATTATTATTATTATTATTTATTAATATTTATTAATATTTTTTATTATTTTTTATTATTTATTGCTATTTATTCATATTATTATTATTATTATTATTATTATTTTAATTTTGTATATTTTATTTAATTTATCTTTTTTTTGCTGTTCTATTACCTTTTTTAGCTTCATCACCAACTGGGTGAACGAAAACATAACTTTGACTATTTGGATCAAAACCTTGACTACCTTTAGACCAATCGTATGATGATGCATAAGCATATAAGCTTGCATCGGAATTGAAAGCTGTGCATGTAATTGGTTGTGGTACTTTGGTAAATTGTTTAAGTCTAAATTTAGATTCTTTATCCCAAAAACTGAAACCACCATCTGAACCTGCTGTTGCAAAAGTACCATATGGTAATGCAAATGAAATTGAGTTAACTGCGTATGCTAATGTATCATTTTCTCTATGACACTTGAATGTAAATGATAATCTATAAATAAATAAAAAATTAGTATTTAATTTGAATTTTCAAATATCTAAAAAAAAAAACTAAAACTTACTCTGGCTTTTCCTCAAATGATTGAATTGCAACACGACCCTCAATAGAGCCTAAAGCAAAACCATTCTTTTCACCAAAACATGCAATACTACGAGTTTGATATTTTAATAATGACTCCATTGTTTTATATGGAACACTTGGGTTTTGGAGATTGTATACGTAGATTTTACGATCTGCTGTTGCAACTACTAATAATGGATAACTATATAAAAAGAATATAAATGTTAGTAACAGTTGAGAAATAAACTATTATTATTATTATATATAAAATACATACAGGCAATCCATAGCATAAACTCTTTCTGAGAGATCCAATGAAAGAACAGGGGTTGACTGTCTGGTATCCCAATATTTAATTGATTTGTCCCAACCACCTGTAACCAAAACTTTACTTTCCTCAATCCAAAAACAATCTTTAACTGGTGCATTATGTTGTGCGACTTGAACCATTTGATTAGTTTGTAAATTCCAAAGTTTAACTTTATTATCAACACCACCTGTAAATACTTGTGTGCCATCCTGTGAATTTGAAAAAAAAAAAATTGATTAGCTATTGATCTTCTCGTCGGGAATACTTTTTTATATGTTAATTATATTACTTACACCATTCCAGTCAGTACATAAAATTGCTGCTTCGTGGCTGATCATTGCTCTTGGTTGTGATGATAATGATGGTGTGTTAACTTCCCAGCATCTAATCTTTTGATCCCATGAACCTGCTACAATTAAATTACTTGTTTTGGGTGAAAACTTTAAACAAGATATACCATCATTAATTGGTCCTTGTAATTCTATATCTTTATTTGGATTATGGTTATTTGTGACTGAACTATTAAATAACATTTTTATATAAAATTATTTTTTTTTTTATTTGACTATATTAATTTTCAATATATTTGTATGAAGCTTTAAAATTAAAGAAGAAATAAACTATCTCTGTTTTTCTATCTTTTATTTTTGCTTTAATAAAATGAATGTTTAAATAGAACTAAAAAAAATATTAAAACGATTTTCAAAAAAAATAAAAAAAAAAAATAAATAAAAATTTTAAAAAAAAAATTTAAAAAAAAAAAAAAATTTAATTGTTGAATTTTTTTTTTATTTCATGAAATTTTGTAAATTAATTATTTTTTTTTTAATTTCTATAAATAAATAAAATAATATTGATTTAAATTTAAAAATATATATATTTATTAATATATGATCACAATAAATTTAATAATTTTATTTTCTTTTAAAATCAAATATATTTTTCAATTTTTGTAAATTGCCAAAAAAAAATAAAAAATAAAAAAATAAAAAAATGTAAACTTATTAAGTTAACCCCATTGTGTGTTTTTATTTTTTTATTTTTTTTTTTTTAATATAATTTTAATATCATTCAGTTACAATTTTGTGTTTTTATCATTTAAAGTTTTGTTTACATAATATACATATACATATAAATATAAATATACCATGGATGAAGCAGGATATGAAATTTTTAAAGAAAAAATTAGACAAATAATATCAGGGGTCAACAATTTAATAAAAGAAAACAATGTAAAATTGGATGAGTACGACGTTAAACTAAAAGATGAAACAAAACAACTACAATATAACAAAGAAACAAAATATAAAGAATTAGATGGTAAATTTTAAAATTAAAATTATATAACACACAAATATATATATTTAAAAGATTTTTAATTTTAATCAAATTTAAATTTATATTTCATTATAAATAGGAAAAATTAATCAAGCTCAAAAATACATTCAAGATATAGAAGATAAAAAAGAAAATTTAAATAGTGATAGAAAGGTGTATGAAGAGGTATTGATTCAATTAAATAATGAAATTGAAGATTTAAAATTCAAAATTGATAATCAAACATCAACAGTAGCTGTGTTTTTGGATGTTTTTAATCATTTATATAATCCAATAGGTGCTGTTGAATCAGATAAAGTTATAGAACTTACAGATACTCTAAATGATTTAATAAAGAAAGCAACAGAAAATGAAGTAGAGGTTAGAAAAAGAGTTGGTCAAATATCAAGACTTGATGACAAACAGTCACATTTAGATATGGCATTGTTGGGTTTCAATAATGAAAAAGCACATCTAATCAAATCTATCGATGACAAACAAATAGAAATAGAAAAGATAGGCAATTTAAAAAGGGAAGCTGAAAGTCAAGTTAAAACATTAGAAGTCTTTTTACAAGAATGTAATTTGCTATTTGAAAAATGCGAAACCTTTGGCCCAGCCTCAATGGAAGAAATATCACAAGAATTAAATATTTTATATCACAGTTATAATTTAAATATTTAAATAATATAAAAAATTAATAAAAAAATAAAAAAATATTGTAAATAAAAAGTTTTATAGTTTTTTTTTTAGATTATATATTTCTTTTTAAAAGGATAAAATCAACATTTAAAAATAGAAATAATTTTTATATTCGTTTTTATTAAATAAATAAGTTTACAATAAATAAATAAATGATACAAGTAATTGTTTAGAAACATTTTCTGTGGACAATTGATGGACCTGATTCGTCGTATTCTTCTTTGGAGATCCACATTTGTTGGAAAGTTGAGAGTGAGGCTAAAATTGAACCACCAATCCAGACAGAGTATTTACGTTCTGGTGGGGCGATGATTTTAATTTTCATGGTTGATGGGGCTAAAGCAGTTAATTCTTTGTTCATACGATCAGCAATACCTGGGAACATAGTTGTACCACCTGATAAGACGACATTACCGTATAAATCTTTACGGATATCAACATCACATTTCATGATTGAATTGTAAGTGGTTTCGTGGATACCAGCTGATTCCATACCTAAGAATGATGGTTGGAATAAGGCTTCTGGGCAACGGAAACGTTCGTTACCGATGGTGATGACTTGACCGTCTGGTAATTCGTATGATTTTTCTAAGGCAGATGATGAGGCAGCAGTTTGCATTTCAGCTTCAAAGTCTAAGGCGACGTAGGCTAATTTTTCTTTGATATCTCTGACGATTTCTCTTTCAGCAGTGGTGGTGAATGAGTAACCACGTTCAGTTAAGATTTTCATCATGTAATCGGTTAAATCACGACCAGCTAAATCTAAACGTAAGATAGCATGTGGTAAGGCATAACCTTCATAGATTGGAACAGTGTGGGAGACACCATCACCTGAATCCATGACAATACCGGTGGTACGACCTGAGGCGTATAATGATAAGACGGCTTGAATGGCAACGTACATGGCTGGGGTGTTGAAGGTTTCGAACATAATTTGAGTCATTTTTTCTCTGTTAGCTTTTGGATTTAATGGGGCTTCAGTTAATAAGACTGGGTGTTCTTCTGGGGCAACACGTAATTCATTGTAGAAAGTATGATGCCAGATTTTTTCCATATCATCCCAGTTGGTAACGATACCGTGTTCAATTGGGTATTTGAGGGTTAAGATACCTCTCTTTGATTGGGCTTCATCACCAACATATGAGTCTTTTTGACCCATACCGACCATAACACCAGTGTGTCTTGGACGACCAACAATTGATGGGAAAACAGCTCTTGGGGCATCATCACCAGCAAAACCGGCTTTGCACATACCTGAACCGTTATCAATAACTATTGTTTATAAAAAAAAATTTATATTAATATAATTTTTTTAATTTTTTTTTTTTTTAATTTTTTTTTTTTATTTGTATCTTATAAAACATACCTAAAGCTTGAACATCTTCACCTTCCATTTTAATTTATATATATTTATTTATTTAAAGTTTATGAAAAAAAAAAAAGAAATAAAAACAAATTTGATTTTTTATAGTTTTTTAGAAAAAAAAAAAAATATTTTAAAAAATAAAAATTTAAATAAAAAAAAAATAAAATTAAAATACCCATTTTGGTTTGGGTATTTTAAAATAAAATTATCATTTTATTGTAAAACCATTTTTTTTCAAAGCTAAAATATTTGAAAAAAAAAGAATTGGTTTATATTTTTATTTTTATTTTTTATAATTTATTATTTATTTATTTTATTTTAATTTTAATTTTTATCTTTAATTTTATTTTTATCTATTGTTTGTTTTTATTTTTATTTTTTGTTTTTTTTTTTAAAATAAAACAAAAAAATTTCATTTTAAACTTTAACATTTTAAGATTCACCAATAAAATGATTATATCTAATGATTAAATAAAAAAAACACCCCCTTTTTTCGAATTTTAAATTTATTGTTTTGCTTTTTATAAAAGATTTAATTTGGGAAATATAAAAAAAAAAAATAATTAAAAAAAAAAAAAAAAATTAAAATTATAAAAAAAAAAAAAAACAATTCGTTTTTTTTCTAAATTATAACTTTAACTATTAAACAAAACATTAAAACATTTATATAAATATATTTACATTAAAAACCTTAACAAATATAATGGCCCAAGAAATTAATAATGAATCAACATTTGGTGTGGTTTTCGATATCGATGGTGTGTTAATGAGAGACGGTGTTGTTATACCAAATGCAACAGAGGCATTAAACTTATTAAAGGATAAAGAAACTGGTGAACCAAAATATCCATATGTTTTTGTTACAAACAATGGTGGATTTACAGAAAAAGAGAAAGCAGATAAAATATCAAAAGTGTTGGATTATACCATTGAGGATGACCGTGTTATGGTTGCTCATACACCAATTAAACCTTTGGCAAAGAAATACGAGGATTCAGATGTCCTTTTAATCGCCAAAGACCATCAAACCTCTGCAAAATTGGCTGATTGTTATGGTTTCAAAAACTTTGTTTCATTCCAACAATACATCGAACAAAGACCATACATTTGCCCAGCCAAGTATTCCACTTTTTGGACTACTGGTGTTAAATCTGACTATATTATCAAAGAAAAAGAAAATGAATTACCAATTAAAGCAATTATATTATTAGAGGAACCAAAAGGTAGAGTATTACACACCACTAACACAATTACCACTACATTTTAACTAATTATTAACATTTAATTTAGATTGGGGTGAATGTATCCAAGTTATTTCAGATATACTTCAAAGTAAAGATGGACTTTTAACAAAAGAAAATATAAATGTAGCACAAAAACAAGAAATCGATTTACATGTTTGTAATCCAGATTTCACATATGGCGGTGAATTTGTGCTACCACGTTATACAATGGGTGCACTCTTGGAATGTATTAAACTTTTATATAAAACTCAAACTGGCAGAGAATTAAAATATACATTGTATGGTAAACCATTGGAAATTACATATCAATACGCTAAGGAGCTTATGGGCAATCAATTAAAGAAATTAGGTCAAAAGCAACCAAAACACATCTATGCAATTGGTGACAATCCATATTCCGATATTAAAGGTGCAAATAGTTTAGAAAATGAAGGTTGGGTTAGTATTTTGGTAAGAACTGGTTGTTTCAAAGGTGAGGGTAACCATCATGAAATTCCAGCTAAACATGTTTGTGATAATGTTTATGAAGCAATTCAATTAATTTTGAAATTAGAGAATAAATTAAATTAAATTAAATTAAATAAATAAATAATTATACAATTTAAAAAAATTATATTTTTTTATTTTTTTTATTTTTTATTATTTTTGATCTTCGTCATCGTCTTCGTAATCTTCCTCTTCGTCCTCCTCTATTTCTTTGTTTTTATTGCTTTTGTTGTTATTATTGTTATCTTTTTTTAAATATACATAAAATACTGTATCACTTGATTTATATTCGGCTTGTGATCCTACTAATGGTACAACTTCTTTTGGACGTTTCCAAACTACTCTGTTTTTGGTGAATCTTCTTGCTAAAGCAAAAAGTAAAGTGGAGTCTCTGTCGCCACCAACCAATCTTCTAACGGCTCTGATATCTTTTTTTGAGAGTGACTTTTCTTTTTTCTTTCCTGGATACATTGGGTCCATATAGATGGTGTCTGGTTTTAATGATTCGTCGCAATGGATGTTTTCGACCAAGTATTCTATCGAGTCTTTGTGAACTAGGGTGATTCTTGATGCGATTTCAAAGGTGTCAGAGTTTGCTTTAGCTTTCTCCAATGCTTTTTCCATCATATAAATTAAAACTGGATTACGCTCGACAACTGTAACTTTGCAACCCATCGAGGCAATAATCCATGCATCCTTACCTAAACCACCAGTGACATCCATAACATGATCAGGGAATTTAGAGTTTACTTTAATAGCTCTGATCATTGGTGACTTTCTATTTTTACCAAATTCAGTACGATGATGTACAGAACCAGCTGTATAATCTAAAAATATTTCGCTAGTAAGTCTTCTTATATTGCTATTTCTATTGGAGTTTGCAGGTTCAAAATCATGTAGTGAAACACCTTTTTCCGATACAAACAAAACTGATTGATATGAAAATAATTCGTTTGGTAATCTTAATACTTGAGGTAAATCTAAGAAATCCAATTCCAAATGATTGGCTACTTCTCTTGCCTCATTTTCAAAATCTTTTGAACATGTTACAATTACTGAACTTTTATCACTTTTGCTTAATGCTGGTGTTGTAAATATGCCTGGTGAAATCTCTACTTTAAAATTATAATCTACTTTTGAAATAACATTTTTAGCCTTTTGTATTTGTGCTGCTGCTGCTGCTTTTTCTTCTTCTGTTGTTGGTGATTGTGATTGTGATTGTGATAATACTCTATTTATTTCATTCTTTTTATTGACATCTATTAATGTTTGAAACTCATTCTTATCAATCATATCTGTAAAATTCTTTTTTTTCATCTTTTTTTCTCTGTATAATTTTAATTTTAAATCCATTTCATTTGGTTCTTCATTTTTTATATTATTGGTGGTTGCTGTGGTTGTTTCATTATTGGTTGTTGTAAAAAATATTTTATTTATATTATAATTATTTAGTCTATTATTAATTTTATTTATATGATTAATATTTTCTTTTAAAATTAATGTTGGAACTATTCTTTTAAACATTATTAGTTAATTAATTATTTTTAATGATAAAAATAATAAAATATTAAAAAAAAAAAATGAAACCAATAATTTAAAAAAGTTTTTTTTTTATTTTTTCGTTTTTTGCAAAAAAAATAAAAAAAAAATAAAAAAATTAAAAAAAATAAATATATTGTGTTTTTGTATTATTATTGTATAACAGTGGAAGTTGTAGTTTTATTATTATTATTATTATTAAAATTAATAATAATATTATTATTATTATTATTAAAAATATTATAATTTAAATTTTTATTTAGTTTTATAGTTTTATAATTTCCATTTAGATTTTATAAAATTTTCTATCATTGAATAGCAACATAAAATCACTAAATTGGGGATAT